TCTGTTGCGGTATAAGTTCTTGCACTTTTTGGAATTTCAATGGCTTCACCCCGAGCTCATTTTTCAATATTTGCCGAATGTAATATTGCGATATGTTCGGCTCACGAGCCATTTTTCGGCCACTACGACGCGGGTTTCGATCGTTTCGCTTCTTTACTTTTCGAACTATTTCTGCTGATGTTTTGCTGTTTTCTTCCGCCCACTTCCTTGACGTCGGGCTACGCAACCAGTATCACGGTAACGGGCGATGGTTCGATACACACACAATTTATCCACATCTAAATGACGGAGTGCTCTAAAGATAGCCACATGTGGTTTTCCAGCCAAATATAAAGAAATCAAACTATCAAGCTTGAATTTCATCACGAATAACTTTTTACTTGAAAATTCTCTCCAAAATGCTTTTGTACGCTTGTAAAAAATTTAACGAGCTGTCACTGGAATAATTTTAACAACCGTCGGAGGGGGGGGGGGAGGTTGGCTTAGAAATGACAGCAGTCTGAAGTTGGTTGCATTTCTTTTATCTCACCCTGTATATGGTATCTCACTCACATTGCAACATTTTACAAAAATTATCACATATCTCATTAAATTTCGACCAAATCTGGTTGCAAATTTATATCAGACTTAGGTCAAATATAAAATGGACACTATTATTTTTTATTTTTTTTTAATATTTTTTCTCTGTACAGAAACGGCTTTAATTCCAATTCCTTGTCGAAACAACGTTCCTGTATAGTTCCAGTATATCAATGTAATCCCCACATAAAGGCACCTCCTGATTTTTGACATTTTAAGAGTTCCTTCCTAAATAACCACACCGGTCGGTTCTAAATAATTTTATGATCCTGTAATTTGATGTTGTGAAGTCTTGACAAGTAATGGGTTTTTGAAAATCCCAACCAAAATCTTGTAAAGAATCGTCTACAATTTTACAAGTTTTGATATACAGCCATGTCTCACATTTATGGGATTTTAAGACAACTCAACTTAACTCCATTTTAACTTTCTTTAAAGTAAACAGTATTTTGGTTTCTGAGTCCGAACATTATAAAAACAATTCCGCAGTAAAAACCTTGTAAAAAAGTGACTCGACTCTGCGAACCTGATCTTGAGTAATCAATCTAGCACAGAGTCTCATAAGTATTTCCGGAACAAGAATCAGAAGCTGGGTATGTTTTCCCGCATCTCTGAACTTAGCTATGCTGTTTCTTTTAATCCCCTTAAGAACTCGAGCACAAATTTGACTATAGGGTCATAGGATACCTCAGGTTGAAACAAAATTTACTGTCTGTCGTTTCCGTCATTCACTTTTCAGAAAAACCATCTGGTAGTCCCCAACGACCTATTTAAAGACCCGTTTCATGCTTTATTCGTATTGGCTTCCTCGTTGCGGACTGGATATATTGTCGCTTAGAAGTTAAAGTGTCCACATCATCAAGTGTGACTGCGGGACAAACGATGCAAAAAAATAGTAAATTTCCTAGTGATTAAAAATCTAACCAAGTAAAAAGTCAGCAAGGCTCATTTTATTACCCTCCAACATTCGGAGGGAACTTGCACAATTTCAAAAATTCTGTTATAGCCTCTGAAATTATTAAAATATTGAATATCGGACGGTACAGTCATATGAGGGTTATACGAAAACGTAGACATGTATGACCACAGGCCCGATAGCAGAGAAGGCGGTACCTTTGGTATATTTCAAATAGAAATTTTAAAATAACTTCTTATATCCGCAAATACCAAATATTGGAGGGCACACTTATATGAGGGAAGGTGAAAACTCGTTTTCTTTCGTAGGAAGAAGTACCCATTACGAACTCCAAATACCAAATTATATACCTACCATCGTTGGGTACAATTATATGGGGTCTGTAACAAAATTTTGGACCTACAGATATTGTTTTCCGCAAGGGCCGTTTTTACCTACTGGGAACACAAACTGTCAATTTACAGCAAATTCTGTACAAAAGTGTGACTAACACTTAAAACACCCTAAATCTTTCAGTATAGTTATATGGGGCTATACCATAGGCCATTTTCAATACCATGCTACGGACATAATATGAATTTGAGTGAACTTTTGTCCACCTCCTTCACTCAATTCGGACTCTAAAGTGATTTTCACAGACGGACAGACAGATCGACATAGAATCTTATGCTGATAATGAATATACAGGATGAGATGCAACCAACTTCAGACTGCTGTCAGTGACAGCTCATTATATTGTTTACAAGCGTACAAAAGCGTTTTGGTGAGTGGAATTCTCCAGTGGTGATGGAATTCAAGCGTGATAGTGTAATTTCTTTATATTTGGCTGGAAACCCACAAGTGGTTATCGTTAGATCACTCCAGCATTTAAATGTGAATAAATCTTCTGAGTCTCGTACCATCGCTCGTTGCCGTAATGCTGGTAGCGTAACCCGACCTCAAGGAAGTGAGCGGAAGAAAACAGCAACATCAGCATAAACGGTTTGAAAAGTAAGGAAGCGACTTGATTGAAACCCGCGTCGCAGTGGCCGAATAGTGGCTCGTGAGTTGAACATATCGCAACATATATACCATTCGGCAAATAGTGAAAAATGATCTCGGGGTAAAGCTATTGAAATTCCAAAAAGTGCAAGAACTTACACTGCAACAGAAAGAAAATAGACTCAAAAGAACTTGGCCGAAAGTGAAATGCCGAATTTGGTTTTTTCCGATGAGAAAACATTCGTTGTCCAGCAGTTTGTAAAATGATCGTGTTTATTTGCCAAAGAGGTCAGCTGAAAATGTGCACCTTCGGTTGGCCACCAGAACTCAAGCGCCGGTCATGGTGATGATGTGGGCCGCCATAACAACCGATAATAGCTGTTCGCTCGTATTAATCGACCGTGGTATCAAATAAATATCGAATATTATCTCGAAAATATTCTGGAGGGTGTATTAAAGCCTTGGGCACGCAAACATGTTGGCCGCAGACCTTTGACATTCCAACAGAACTCGGCAACATCGCACTCAGCACGCCCCACTCAAGAATGGTTACAAAATGAGTTTCCCCGCTTCCGTTGGACTATTGTGTCTGGAGTAATTTGGAAAGCAAGGTTGACACTAAAAAATACCAAAGTGTCAATCACCTCAAGCAAGCGCTTCGCCGATGTGACGGTTTCATTTGCCGTTTGAAGTACCAAACGTAACCTATTCGATCAAATCTAAACTTATTCTAAAATTTGATGCTATTTCCGACATATTTGGCTTTCAATCAATTTAATTTAAAAAAAAAATTAAAATTATGGCATTTGAATTTATTGCAGTTTTTTATCTTACCCTGTATGTACTATAACCTTCATTAGATTTATGTAACATTTGTTATTTTTCTTCTGATGGGTTAACAAATGATTCTGCAAAAGTGATATATATTGGCCCACGTTATGACCTAGATTCCCTTTAGCGATACTTCCGTATTAAGGTAGCTAATGCTTTTTAAATATATTTTAAGGAAAATTGTCATTTTGAGTTGCATGCGATTAAAATCCGTAATTTTAGAAATATATGACCATAGACGCAATTTGCTCATATACCCCTATATTATCTCCGACAGATTTGACCTATTTGCTGGATTGTGACCACTGTGGAGCATTGTCAATATAATGAACATATTCCATGTATTACAATCTCAAACTTGTCTGATAAATTGATCATACCATGTATCACATAATGGTCTAGATAATAACTAAGGCCAAAAACAAAAGACTTAAGAGATGAACTTGAAATATGTTTCAAGCGAATAATATTTCAAACTTTTATTAAATATAATTGTAACACATAAAAACACATTTTAATTAAAATAATCTTTTTTAAGCCATACACAAATTACATGGTTTTGTGATTCGAATATTAAGCACATATATTCACACACACACACACACACACACATTGAAATATTCACATGTCTTAATGATATTTTAAAGACGTCTTAATAGCTTTTTGTCTTCAAAGCCATCTAAGGCAACGATCCAACTGTTTTTGCTGTTGTTGTTGGTGTTGAGCGATTTAAATGCTTGGCTGAATAGGTTATTGACTGACTAGTTGTTGTTGTTTTTTGGCTTTTTCTAAATGCCCCCGAGGCAATGGGAAGCTTAAAAATAGCAACAACGACAAAAATCATGAGTCAGAAATAGAAGGGATTTGCATTTTAATGAAGAATAATCTGACCTTTTTTCTTAGTTACTGGAGGAGTCAAGAAAACAGAAATACAAATTAATTGAGTGAATGATTGGTTCTACTTTTAGAAAAAAAAAATCAGATTCATTGGACATCGGATTTCCAACTTTGTAGAAAGAAGAAATCACTCAAGCATTTCTTTCAATTCGTTGTTAGTTTGTTGTTCTTTCTGCTGCTGCTGCTTCTTTTGAACGCCATACAATTAACCATTCATCCAAGCGTGGCTTCTGTATTTTTTTTTTTTTTTTTTTTTTTTTTGGTTCTTGGTAATGGTTTTCTTGCCAGGCTTGAGTTTGTCTGTGTAATGAACCTTTTTTGTTTGTTAAAATAATTATTTTTAATTCTTCTTTTTTTTTAATACTAACTATATCAGATGTATGTTTTTTCTACGGCTTACAAACTGAAAATTCCAACTTAAAGGTGAAAAGTTGTTAGAACTTATTTTTAGTAACCGGCAATTGGCGGAAGTGTGTAAACGAATTTTGTATCATTTTTTTTTTGCCAGAGAACCCAAATACTTGGAAGAAGAAAAAGAATACAAATATCACGACAACAAAAACACACACAACTCCCACAATTTTATTTCGAGGAAGAGAAAAAGTTTTTCACTTCCAAAGCAGAACAAATTCTAACCATTCATTGTTAATTTGTAATTCAACAGTAACGGATGTGGAGTTCTTTACATTTCTTCAACCTCAAAGATAATCTGCAAATGATGTTAAACGAATAGAGTTCTTAAAAAAAGAAGAAAAAAAAAAGAAAACTTGGAAAAAGTTTAATCTTTTTTCAAAAAGGATTTGAAAAAAAAAGTGTAAATAATAATAGAAAATAATAAAAAATTTAAAAAAACTTAAAAAATGATACGCTGGAAATCTTTGGATATAATCAACCTGACATGGACTTTATTTTCCATTGCCCTCGTGATACCCACTATTAACTCACTTACTGTGGATAATCAATTGGTATCGGCAAGAAATGGTAAGTATAAATGTAAATTTATATGACATTTGATATTTAATATTTCTGGAAAATCCATGATATATGAATGTAATGTTTTGCCAGCAAGAATAGTGTAAATACTACCAAACTGGTTCAGAAATATCTAGCGATGGTAAAAATACTCAATAAATTTGGGAATTTTAGTGTCTGTTGTCTATCTGCCTTCAGGGAACTTTTACTCATTTCGAGATACAAATAATTAAGGAGTGCCTTAGAATGACCAGTACTTGATCTATACAGATTTTTTGGTAGATTCTTCCAAAGGGGGATCTGAAACAAATAACAGGAAATGTGTACACCCTACACCAAACATAGTATGGAGGAGGTATATTAGGTTCGTCATTCCATAAAATCAGCATAAAATTATAATACGATTTAGCCTTGTCCGTCCGTCTATTGTAATCAAGCTTGAGTCAAAACCAATTAAGATGAGAAGCTAATATGTTGCACAGATCGCTTTTTTGTCTGCATGCAGGTCAAGTTCGAAGAGAGGCTCCCATAACGGTACCTCCCGATATTCGGTATTTTGAAATGTGGATAAACATTTTCCAATTTGAAATTCTACACAAGGAGTTATTTGTGAGTAGTTTACTCCCCGAAAGAGAATTGTCTACATAGATCCACGATATCGAATAGAACCATACAACGGTACCCACCATATTCTCTATTTTGGTGATTTTAGCGACATTATTCACCGGAATTGTTTCAAATTTTATATTTGAAGCTCGTAATGGGTACTACAACCTATGACGGAAAATTGTATATGTTTGTTCTCGTCTTTATATAGCCCTTATATAACAACACCTCCCTTTATTTGGTATTTTGATGTTATTAGCGGCATGAGTAATCGGAATTGATTCCAGTTTTATGATATTGGAGACATTTTTACCTATACAATTTTACGATATCGTATATCCCCCATAAAACGTTACCTCCCGATATTCGCTATGTTGATGATAGCAGCCAAATTTTTTAATGGAACTGTCTGAAAATCCACACAAGGAGTTCCTTCTGAGTACTTGACCTTTTGAAAGAGAATTGTCTATATAGGTTCACGATATCCCCCATATCGGTACCCCATATTCGCTATTTTGATGATTTTAGCGACATTATTCACCGGAATTGTTTCAAATTTTATATTTGAAGCTCGTAATGGGTACTACAACCTATGACGGAAAATTGTATATGTTTGTTCACGTCTTCATATAGCCCGCATATAACGGCATATCCCTGTATTTGGTATTTTGGTGATATTAGCAACATGATTGACCGGAATTGTTTCCAATTTGATGATATTAGAGACATTTTTTACCGGAATTGTTTCAAATTTTATATTTAAAGTTCATACAGTTAAGTTCCATCAAAATTGGTTGGAATTGTCCTAGAAAAGTTCCGAATAATAAAAACATTTTTCTTCCCGAAAAGATCTATTTTAATAAAAGAGTCATGTAATTGACTGACTTAATAATTCATCTTAAAATATTGGGCGATGGTCACCCTTGTTCCGAAGGTGTCAGATAAAAAAAGAGTACTAAAAAGTACTAAATACCAAAATATACTAAAAATTGTATCCATTATATTTGACGAACGAATAGAGGTAGAACTCTTAAATTTTTGGAAATAGGGCCGTTGATGAAGTTTATGATGAATTTGGGTATTCTCTCTATAAGTGTACGAAAAGTACTAAAATTTACTACATTTTGTATCATTTCGTATAGGTTAGAGGTAATAACTTACAATTTTGGAATGGGAATCAAGGTGGAAGCGTATGGTCTATGTGAGGAAATATTTTTGGAAGTGTATATAATATAATAATAAAATTATAATTCTGGAATCCTGAATTTTAAAATCAACATTGCTGGCGGAGTGTAGAATTGGGATATGGAGATAGTTTTAGTCATTTGTATATATGTGTACAAAAAATATCAAATGGTACCATATTTGGTAAAATTTCGACATGGGTGAACCCATGGAGCAGGAATGCTGATGTTTGAAAATAAGATTACCGTATTATGTGCATTAAAAGGTACTCAATTTGGTACAATTTAGATTTTGGAGGAACCGGTAGAGTTGTAATTTTGAAATTTTGATTTACAACTTCTATCGGAATGTATGATGAGAGTTTTAGACATTTGTACTTATGTGTACACTAATAGATTTGTTATCCTGAAATTTAGAAATAAGATTACCGTCGGAGTGTAGGACTCAGATATGGTGGTGGTTTTGAAAATTTTAACTTATACGTGCTAAAATGCAGTAAATTTAGTACAATTAAGATTTGGATGAACCCATAAAACTTGAATCCTGAAGTTTGAAATGAAGAATACTGTTGGAGTGTGGAATTGAGGCGCGTATGTTGCTTTAAAAAATCCTTACTTATGTGTACTAAAGGTACCAAAAATTGGAACAATTTGGATTTAGCTGAAGCGATAAGGCTGAAATCCTGAAATTGGAAAATAATATTTCTATTGGGTTGTATGATCCAGGTTGTTATGGAAATACTTATGTATACTAAATGGTGCTGTATTTGTAATACTTTAGTTTAACTTGAACGGATGAAGCTGGAATTTGGAAATTTTATATTGGGGTCCCTCTTAGTGGTAGCTTTGTGATAAAGAGGTGATATTGGAAATGTGTACTACGAGAAGTACTAAATAGTACTATATTTGGTACAATTTACTATTCTCTGAACAAATAGTGCTTGAAATCTGAAATTTGGTATTAGTGTAGCCTGGACATATGGAGGTGGATTTGGCAATTTGTACCATAATTGTATAAAAAGTACTGAATGTTACTATATTTGCTATTAAGTAAATCAGTGCTTGGGATTTGGTGGTGGTTTGGAAATATAAACGAGAAGTACTAAATGGTACTAAATCTGGTATTGGGTAAAGCGATAGAGTTGAAAACGTGAAATTTTATGTTGCGATAACTGTTGGTGTTTAGGGTTGAGATATGGATTGGTTTTGGAAATGAGTACTAAAATTATAGGAAAGTACTGAAAGTTTATAAATTTGGTATTGGGTGAATATATAGAACTGGAATCCTGAAATTTGATATTGAGGTCTCTGTTGGTATCTGGGGTTGAGTTCTTAATATCGAATTATTCGAAAAGTACAGTATAGCACTAATTTTGAGCCACTATTTGTGTCTAGGATGGAGAGATGTAGTTTTTTTGGATATGCATAAAGGTTTCTAAATTTGGTATTGGGTGAAGGATAGAGGTGAAATTCTGATTCATTTCATATTTTATCATTTTATTTTTTAAGATTTTTTACATACTGTTGGGATTTTTTATATACTTCTCGTGAAACTTTTCATGACGGTCAGTTTAGAGTTAGAATAGAAGCCTATTATTTTTGAAAATGTAAAACATTTAGGGCTTGAAGTGGACGAAAACTGCAACTTCTACCGAATTTAGAGTCGCTCTTCAGGTTTACAGGTGGTCTTCTTTTCCATAGAATACCTGCAGTTCTTCGCACTAAGATACCTGGAGTTCATCTTGGACATATAAGATCATGACATCCATACCAAATTACAGGATTTCAATTCTTTTCCGTTACCCAATACCAAATTTGGTACTTTTCATACAATTATAGTACCCGTTTTCAAAACCACCTCCATATCTCAATTTCAGATACCAACAGAGACCTGATTTCAAATTTGAGGATTCCAGTCATATTCATTCAACCAATAACAAATTTAGTACCATCCGAAACCACCTCCATATATCTAAGCTACACATAAACAATGGTTCTAATAACAAATTCGAATACTATCTGATCACCCAATAACAAATTGTACCAAAAATAGCACTATTGTACTAAATGGTACCATTTGAGAATTTAAGGACCATTTTCGAACTTTTCGCTACCTTAAAGTTCAAATTTTCAAAAACACTTTGGCTTAGGTCATCTTTCAATACGGTCTTTTTTCAATACGAAGTATTCAATTTCCTAAAACCCACCCTTATCACACTGTTGGTCACCAACGCTGACCCTAGTGCAAAATTTTGATATTTCAGCTTCAGCCGTTTCGTCTGGACTTTATTTCTTCATCAGTCAGTCAGTTATTTCAGTACCACTCTTTTATATAAATATTTTATATGTATACAATTTTTCTGCCACCTACCCCATCTGACCCTGATCCTTTAAATGTTGCCAGAAACTTAACATAACTGTCTCCATAACTGTGTGCTTAACCTTAATTATTTTCCAAATCATCATCCCTTAATGCCATCACTTACATAGATCTACAAAAATGTATAAAGCAGTTGCCAAGACCTTGTTTGCCAAATGAGATGTTCCGCCAAAAAACAAGTGTTAACATACTTAGCTAAATACAGCTCTTGAAATGCTAACTGTTCTGTAAATACGTAAAAAATCTTCATGTGAATGACTTTAAACTGAAAACGCTTCAACTTCAACCGCTTCAACTCGCTGTGTCATTAACTTTGGTCTGGTTTGAGGCTACATTTGTGGTATTTGCAATTTAAATAAATGTAAAACATTACAAAAATAGTGTCAGAATGTTAATCGGAATGGCATATGTAAACAAACATTTGTAAATACATTAGGGTGGCTTCGACAAAAAAAATAAAATGTTAATGTTGGAAGTGTTAAGTATCTGAAAAGTACTTTTTGTGGCACCCATATGTTGTTGTGGGCTAGGCAAAACTATCGAATTTAAATTATTTTATCATGACTCACCGATAGACTCAGAACCCAATAAATTTGACATTAAAGAATATTACATCAATGACAAGATTTTGTGATTATGTAAGTCAATTGTTTTATTCCCAGAATCAAAAAAGTGTTTTTCAAATACAATACTTGGAAGCCTGTGTTTTATTTGTGTCAAAATAGTGATAAAATAATTTTAGATATATTATTATTTATTGTTCTTTTTGTGCAGTGAAATACTATCAGTTCTTACTAATATAATCGAAATTATACGTGCATTGTGAAGTTCAGTGTTTA